ACTAGGTTGAAGTTTGGTCCCTCTTTTCCTGTGGAGATATAAACAATACCCTCCCCTTGGGTGGGTTAGCGCCCTGTGCCCCCGCTACCCATTTCTTCCTTATTTTCATCATTTTTTTTTGTTCCCTTTCCCCACCTCCTCCCCAGTTGTCTACCAGATAGTCTTATTTTATAACTTTGAAAGTCCTGAGGATTGGAACCTATTCAAGCTTGATTCTGGGTTAATGTAGAGTTTTGGTCTTCTCACTTGAGCAGTGTATAAAGATGGTACTGGTACCTGTAAAAGTGCCTCTGCATGATGCTAAGGAAACTGGGGATGCGAATTCGTTACAATTTAAGCATGGGGATGTTAATTCTTTACAAGTCTGTAATAAGATTCTTTTCAACGCAAGATTTTTTACAACTCGTAAGGCCAGAGCCGCTACCCTAAACAAACATGGCTGGAATCGCTTTACGCGCAGCCCCTCACGCAAAAACGCTAGCAAGCCCCGCCAGGTGCCCGCCCCCTTCCCCTTATGACCCGGAATTACTCCCCGCTCCGGGGCGGGGCGCCTGCTCCTCGCCAGGCAGCGGCGCGGAAGGAGGGGCCCTCCAGCTCTCTGGGCTGAAGCTGCAGGTACGTGGATGCAAGAGGGCGTCTTCTGGGCCAGTGGGGTCGCGATGGCTAAGTGCAGTCTTTACCGATAGCGACTGGGGGTGCTGGGTTAACCAGCCGCAGGCGGAAGGGTCCCCCTCCACACACCAGAGGGGCAAGCTAAGTGAGCCCTGATTGGGGTGGGCTCGGGGCTCCGCGCTCTGGACCACTGCACACCTGAGATGGCGAGGGGAGGGTCTGCATGGTGAGGGAGGGTCTGGATGGCCAAGCTTCCTTTCTGGTCTCCTGGACGAGGAAAGCGGAGAGCCTGCGGAGGAAGGGGTGGGGTGGGGTGGGGTGGGCAGGCAGGTGTGGCCCGAGCTTTCGCCTAGAAGATGCTAGTGATCAGGGAGTCGCTTTGGGATGTTATAGAATTTAACTTTGTTTTAGCGTTTTTAGGAAGCAAACTATTCATGGCACGTATATTTACATGTCCAGTGGCTGGAATAGAGAGAAGAGAGTATTATTGCACAGTAGAAGATTTTTAATTTTTAGGTTCCATCTACAAATTTGAGTAATGAAATTCGCTTCTGATAACAAGTGAAATGACATGTAATTAAACCTTAATTTTTCTTAAATTGGGGATCATTTCAGTAATTTCAAATGAAAATGGATGAATTAATTATAATGCAAGAAACAAAAATTCTCAAAATTCATTTAAGAAAGTGGAATTATTTGCTTACCTTTCATTTTTCCTGCATAAAATATTGGAACCCTGCATTATGGGGAAAATGACTTTGAATTGCTATAAATATTACTATTTTAAAAATCATTTTATTAGTAGTTCAGCATATCAGACAGTGTTGCACAATCGCTACCACAATCATTTTGAGAACATCAGTTGTCCAGTACCCTCCATTCCCCTGCCATATCCCCCCAGGAACCTTTATTTTAGTTATTGTCTATGGATTCACCCAACCTGGGTTTCATATACCAAAAAACAAAGGAAAATACATAACAGAGAGTCAAGAATGCTACCAACAATAACAAAATACAACAGAGATAGCCCTAAATTGGAAAAAAACAAAACCTGGAAATACTAAAAATTGTATCAAGCTCAAAGTGTAATAGAAGGGAGATCAAATGACAAGGTTTTAACCATTCAAGTAAGAACTATTTGTTCTTAGATTGGAGCTAGGATTAAGTGTGAGCCCCATATCCATTCCTAACTCTGTTTTCTGTCTGCCTCTCATTCACCTTAAAGTCATCTTTGTTATTTTTATTTTTTAATGCATTAGCTCAGGTGGCTATATGATCTAAAGACTTATAAGTAAAAATGTTTCTTTAAAACATGTCAATTTCAAAGTGTTGGGAGAAGAGTAATTATAATTTTTTTCTCTTAGTGTAACATTTAAGAAACCAATACATATATTTTTTTTTTCATAGAGATAGTTTTAAACATCCAGTAGTACAGGAAGACAAAGAAAAGCAGCTACTCCCAACACTCCTAGTTTGACTTCCTAGTGGACCCCAGGGTGACTCACTTAGCTGTTTTTTTCTTGGTTTTATTTCTCAAGAATATGTTTATATCGTGGTTTGTATCATGGTTTATATCATGGTTTGTTTTTTGGAGTAAATGGACTCAGAATTAAGCATGTGGGACTCAAGTTTATTCCTTTGGTGTTACTAATGAGAATCACAAGGAGTAAGATGAGTGTCAGTAGTCTTAACACGTCCTAAAGAGTTATTATCTTTAGAAGGTGACTCCAGGTTAATCCATACGAAGGTCTTATTGAAGGTTCTCCTCGTTATCTACTTTGACAAGCATGAGGTGGTTTTCCAGGGACTGGCCCCTCTTGAAAACATGCCCTAAGAAGTGAGATCAAGTCTCACCGTCCTTGCTTTTCAGGAACACTGTGGTTGTGCTTCATCCAAGACAGAGTTCTTCATCTTCTGGCAGTCCATTGTGCTTTTACCAACGCCAAGATTAAAAAGCATCACTTCTTCAGGCTTCCATGTTCATTTTCCAGCTTTCCCATGGATTCAGTGCATTTGAAAAGGCCAGCGTTTGATTTGGGTGCACTTTAGACGGTCACGGATTGGTATCTAACTGTGGGCTGAAACATAGCTGTGGTTCTGAGGATGTTTCATTCTGCTGTACATCGGGTTGCTTTGAGTTGAAACCAGTTCAATGGCACCTAACAACAACCGTAACAATAACAATAATCATAAAGGGTAGTCGCTGTGTGGCAAAAATGGTTTGTGTTGACTATTAACCTAGAAAGAAGCCCATTTGGCTCACCAATTGTTTGGTTGCTAATCAGAATGTTGGCCCTTCTAACCCACCCAGCATCTTCATAGTCCTGATCGATCTGCCGCTATAAAGGTTTTGGTTTTGTGCCACTGTGTCGATTTCAGTTCATCTGTACAGAAGGCGGTGGCCATGCCTTTCCTCTCTTATGAGCCACTGGTGTGTTTGAACTATTAACCTTGTGAGTAGCTGCTGAGTACTTAACCATTGAGGCACCAGGGCTCTTTCTTTTAACAATTAAAGCCCAAATACCTAATGAGGCTGTCACTTCTCTGTCATTTGAAGGCGGTATGAGTGAGAATCAAAAGCAACCAGTAGCACCAACCTAAAGACAGTTCAGACTCACCCAGCAGGATGAAATGAGAAAGGACAGGCAGGCGCTCTACATTCATAAATAGCAGAGCCATGAAAACTCTATGAAGCAGATCTACTCTGAAACACACGGGGTGACCATGAGTCAGTATTGGCATAAATCTGGCAGCATTTTTGTATTTTCAAATTTTAAAATTACCAGTGTGATAGATTTGCAAGGACATCTCTACCTAATCAGTGGCTCTGACTGAAAAAAGGAGTGCTTACAGAAGGGGATAGTCTAGATGGAGTCTGGAAAACTAGAGAGCTCTCTAGAAAGCTCTCTAGAGAGCTCAAGACTTTGGTAATTTTATGCAGCACTATTCAAGGAAAAAGGAGACCTAGTGGCACAATGGGTTAAACAATAGACTGCTAATCCAAAGGTCAGTGGTGCAAATTTAGCAGCTGCTCTGCAGAGAAAGGTGAAGTGGAGTTCTTCTGAGATTTACAGCCCCAGGAACCCTATGGAACAGTTTTACTTTGCCCCCAAGGGCCCTGATGAGTCAGAGTCCGCTGTATGACAGTGGGTAATTCAAGAGAAAAATTGTTCAAATTGCATGAATACTTTTGTGCATCAGAAAAACTTCTAGGTTCTTTCTTAGCCTAGATGAAATATTCCTCAAAAGACTTTGGCTTCCTGTTCACCAGGTAACATTTTTTACTTACTAATTACTTACTAATTCAATCTTTTTATCAACTGACGTATGTACTTTGGTTTTATGTAAATGTTTTAGTGTGTGTTCGGCCACATAAATTGATAATAAAATAAAGTTTCTAGCTGTACAAAGTAGAGACTCAGACCTTAAACCATCATGTCTCTAAGATTCCAATACGTTAAGAGCCTCTCTTTGAATGACAGCTACTTTATTGTAGATAACTGACTGCTCTCTTTGGTTCTAATAGAGTTTTTCAGTTGCAGTTGAATTAAATATGACTCATCGCAACCCTATATGTGCTGAATTGAACTGTTCCCTAGGGTTTTTCAAGGTTGTGACCTTTCAGAAGCAGATCACTAGGCCTATCTTTTTTTTTTTAAATCATTTTATTGGGGGCTCATACAACTCTTTTCACAATCCATACATACATCAGTTGTATAAAGCTCATTTGTACATTCGTTACCCTCATCAGTCTCAAAACATTTACTCTACATGTAAGCCCCTGGCATCAGCAGTTCCTATCTGTACCAGAGTACATCCTCTGGTCTAGCCAGATTTGTAAGGTAGAATTGGGATCATGATAGTGGGGTGTGTGGGGGGGCGGGGCGGAGGAAGCATTTAGGAACTAGAAGAAAGTTGTATGTTTCATCGTTGCTACCCTGCACCCTGACTGGCTCATCTCCTCCCCGCAATCCTTCCATAAGGGGATGTCCAGTTGCCTACAGATGGGCTTTGGGTCCCTACTCCGCACTCCCCCTCATTCACAATGGTATGCTTTTTTGTTCTTTGATGCCACTAGGCCTATCTTTACATGGATTAAATTGTCAGCTTTTCAGCCAGTTGTCAGATGTTTAACCATTTGTTACCACCCAGGGATTCCTTTCAGTAGAAACAGCAGTATCAAAATTGCTTAATAAAATGCAAAATTGCATTTCTTTGAAGATTTCTTAAATGAGACAGAATAGTTAAGTTTTCAGTCAACTTGATTAGGGCAAGATTCTCAGTTGTTTGCTTGTAAAACCTAGTAGTAATGCCCCATAATATCACCTAACATAATGTAGCCAATTTCATAATGAGATTTGTGAGCAGACAATCAATTGTAAGAAGATTCAGGTGCAACACAACCCACTTAATCAGGTGATAGCCCCGATACCATTGAAGAAAGTTCCCAGGGTGTGTGTGGCCTATTCCTATGTAAGTGGACTCTGGAAAAGCTTTTTGCTGGGCCTGAATCCTACATCTACCTCATTGACTGCCCATTCTTTGTACTTGAGTCAGTGGTCTTCCGTAATGCCTGCCAGTCCTGGAAACCATCAGTGGTCTACCATCTGACCTACTGACCTTGGATTCATTTCCTTTTCCAATCTTAAGCCTCACCTGTTGATCCTGGGTTCATCAGCCCCCAAAGCTACTCACATCAGAAGCCTAGAGTTTTAACATCTGGCCTGTAGATTTGGAACCAGCCTAGACCTGAATTGACTCACTTTTCCAACTGTGTGAGCCATTTTCTTAATATAAATCTCCCTCTAAACATACATATATAAGTATCTCTGGCTTTGCTGCTTTAGAGAACCCAGTGTAAGACAAGAACAAATGCAGATAAAGGTAAAGGGATCCCACTAGCAGCAAGAGAGAAGAGCTAGGAATGGAGCTTGTCATTTGGACCCCCAAATCCATATGCATTGAATCTCCTTTAGGAGACGGCTGTGATACCAGAGGAGTAGCTCAGGAGCAGCAGCAGAATCAAGAGCCAGAGTATCAACCAGAGAGGTGGACTTCCTAGCTCACAGAGTAAGTAAAGCTCAGTGCCTTCAGGTAGGAGGCTGGTGTGTGGAGTGGGGTGCCTCCAGGCACATAATTGGGGGAGTTAGATTTGCTGAGTGCCTTCAGGTTGAGACATATGATAAAGTGGCATGCCCTGAAAGAGCTTTGTAATTGTGTTCAAGCTAGGCTGAGAGGCCAAAGACCAAAGTGTGTCCTGCCTGTGGACACAGTGAGACTAGACAGTCCTGTCCAAATAATTGTGTCCTGAGCATTTGTAACATGTTAACGTCCCTAATACACCCCATAATCATAAAGTATTGCCTGTAAGTTCTTTCTGGAAATTGCAATGAATTATTGAACCCAATGGAAAGGTAGTGGGTGCTGTAAAAGGGACAGTTGATGTCAGAACTTATAGGTTGGAGGGTCAGGCATGTCTGATCTCAGCCTTTAGAAACTAGCCTTAGACGATGCTGATGTGGAATTTGATTTTCCTTCTTACAAAGTTAGAAGAGGTCAGATGATGCCAACCTATGTCATTTCTTCTTTTTACAGATTAATCAGTAAACTTTCATCTAATGACTAATAAACATTATGCTTATTGAAATACTGTTAATTCTCTTCTGGTAGGTATAATATGAATAATTAACTGGGGGCGGGGGAGAAAGCAGATAGAGTTAAAGTTTCAGTTTGTATCTTGGATATAATAAATTAGCCAAAAGTCTTTGTGGCTGATATGTTTTTATGCTTCATTTAATGATGATAGGAAGAGTCATGTCAGAAGAAACAGTCAGCGAATCACAGTTTTCCTTGAAGGCGGCAGCGTTGAGAGTGTTTGATCTTCCTCTGTCTTGGTACTATTCTCTCTGCCAGGTAAAAAAATGAGATACACTTGAAATTTCATTCACTCATTGTTCAAGAATAAAAGCCACAGAGCTTATTTTGCTTAATAGCATTGACATTTTAATTTATGTAATTTTTATATATAATTCAGTAAAAATGCTTTATTAAAGTTGTTAAAAACCTGCTTGCTTTTTTTGTATTTCATTTAAAAAATCATTCACAACCGTTAAAGGGGATTGCATTACTTCTAAAAAATCTTTCTAAAGCAAATATAAAATCCATTACCACTATTATTCAGTGAATTATTTATTCCAACAGAAGTATTCTGACTTTTATCCATTTGTTTTAAATATTTGCTGGCACTATAGTTTGTTCTCCATTGTGCTAAATGAAATGATAACCTGTGGAAAATAGCATTTAGTTTACTAAACATGCCAGAATTCATTAAATCCTAGCTGAACATTTTTTCATATTTCAGCATTTCTGAAACTTACTTGCATCTTAAATTGAATATTATCTTAGGTTGAAGAAATACAATTTTACTTTAAGTATCTTACATGTTACATGTAACATAGCATGTTACCTAGAAATGGTATGTTAGAATAAAAGTAATTACTTTTTATGAAGTATTTACTATGTGAACCCACTACCATCTAGTGGATTTCAACTTATAATAATCCTGTAGGCTGGAGTAAGAATCCCTGGGGGCATAGTGGTTACATGTGTGGCTGCTAACTGCGAGAATAGCAGTTCAAAGCCATCAGCTGCTCCTTGGAAGAAAGATGAGGCTGTTGACTTCTGTAAGAGTTCCTGTCTTGGAAACACACAGGAACACACTCTACCCTGTGAGTCAGAATCAACTTGATTGGCAGTGAGTTTTGTTTGGGTTTATAGGACAGAATAAGGTTTAACAATCTGTGATATGCAGATGGCACAGCCTTGCTTGCTGATGAAAGTGAGGGCTTGAAGCACTTAATTGTGAAGATAAGTATGAATTACCTCAAAGGCAAATATCCTCACAACTGGACCAATAAGCAACATCATGAGAAACAGGGACTACAATGAAATAGTCAAGGATTTCTTGACTATTTTACTTGGTGCACAATCAATGCCCATGGAAGCAGTCAAGAAATCAAACTGTGTATTGCACTGGATAAATCTGTTGGAAAAAATCTGCCTTGGAAAAATCTTTTTTTGTTAAAACGTATTAAAAGCAACGATGTCACTTTGAAAACTAAAGTGTGCCTGACTCATGCCATGGTATTTTCAATCACCTTATATTTATGTGAAAGATGCACAGTGTATAAAAGATGCCTAAGAAGAATTGATACATTTGAATTATGGTATGGGCAATGAATATTGAATTTATCATGGACCGCTTGAAGAATGAACAAATCTGTTTTGAGATAAATACAGCTAGAATATTCCTTAGAATCAGAGATGGAGAGACCTTGTCTCATGTACTCTGGACTTGTTATCAGGAGAGAGCAGTCATTGTAGAAATATATCATGCTCGGTAAAGTAGAGGGGTCAATGAAAAAGAAGATGACTCTCAAGGAGATGGATTGATACAGGGGCTGCAAAAATAGAGCAGTGTTTCATTTTTTGTGCATAGGGTTCTATGAGTCAGAACTGCCTGGAGGGTGCCTAAGAACCAGTACAACGATACTGGTAGTATGCTAAGGGTCGAATCTAGAGTGATGAGCCCAGGCACTGTCTCTTTTGACTTACAGCTTGGTGAGAGAGACAGTATCACGTTACCTTACAAGTACAAGTAGAATTTTAATTTGTACAAGTGCTACAAACATAAGGTCCTGTTTCCTCTTTCTGTTAGCTGCTGTAAAATTAGTTCTGATTCATGTTTATCTCATGTACACCAGAACAAAATACAAAGTGGAAAACCTCCTTTTGATCCTGCAGAGATAATAATGGTTTTGAACCGTTGCTTTGAAGTTAGTAGTAACACTTAACAATTCTACAGAGCCACCAGAGTTATTCCTAAATGGCATTCCATATGGATAATATAAATTTGTATTTCCCAAATTTTCCCATTCTGACAGGTGAGAAAGTTATATCAGCATTTTTCAATTTTTGTTTGTTATTATTATGAATTATGTTGAACATCTTTTCATAGATTTAAGAGCCATTTGTATTAAGTCCAAATTGCTAAAATAATTTCCATATAGGTCATACTGATCCATACCAGTAATTTTTGACATTGTTTCTCTGCACTCCCGATAAAGAAATCACTTAGCACTCCAAATAAAACCTTCACTATAGTT